TCGACGAGAACATCTAAGAGATGAAGTTTATTTTTCATACGTAAGTTCATACGTAAAATTTAGGACGGAATTTTGTCAAAATGTAGCTTTCAGATTTTTTTTATTTCTTTCTTGTTTTCAGCTAAAATAAATATATCGTCTACATAACGAACATATATTTTAGGTTTAATATCATTAGTAAAAACCTTGTTTTCAACATAGGACATATAATTGGAGAATCACGGCCCGAGAGGGTTTCCCATACTTACTCCATCAGTTTGTGTGTAAATAGTACCATTCTGCCTATAAAAAGGAACTCAAGTGGTGCAAGCGAGCAATAGTTTTCTTAAAGTATTGGGTTGGATTGATGGAAGTGGAATAAAATTATTATTATATACAGAATTAATGATAATATCAATAGTTTCGGAGACGGGAAAGTTAGTAAATAAATTCTCTACATCAAGTGATGCAAGAATGCCTTGGTTTGTTTTTACTTTTCTGCTTTTAAGTATTTGAAGGAATTCATGGTTAGATTTAATGCTATAGTAAGTAGAGAGATATGGGGTAATAATATCATTGAGAAATTTTGATAGTAGGTATATGCATGTTGGAATCTGAGAAATGATAAGTCGTAATGGTTATCCCGGTTTGTGTATTTTAACATTACCGTATAAGTAACCAGATTTGAGATATTTTAACTGTTAATTAAGAAATAGTTTGTTGCATGTATGTATTTATATAATGTTTTCACTTTTTTTTCAAACCACGGTCAATATATTGTGTCCATGTTCATTGTTGATATTAGTGAGTATTGTTTTTTATTTATAATGCTTCCATTATTTTAGACTTTTTTTACATGTAGACGATGCTATTATATTTGTGTTGTCAACAAGTATGTTACGAATAGGGCCCGGTAGGTCTCCATGAATATTTAAATGAGATCTAATTGAGCTATGATCAGAAATGTGCAGAGTGAGTCTTCGTGTCGAGCATGTTGTAGTATGGCCTATATAATGATTTACGAATTTTAGTTGATCATGAATACAATTCCTTAATGGGCATTTAAATTCATAAATAATATTTGTTCTATTTAATTTTGTTCTAAGGGGTGAATTATTATTTTAACTATAAGGTTAGAGGTTTAAAATTTTTTGTAATAGATAATTAATCTATTTTTTGGCTATTTTCAACTGGTGTATATATATACATACATACATATATATATATATATATATATATATATATATATATATATATATATATATATATATATATATCCTCTACAGTTGCACTGAGAACGTACCAAAATAATAAGAAAAGCAGAAAAGGAAATTAATCAAAAAGCTCTTCGTACAAACAAACCCACCTGGAACTTCAGGGCAAAGCCAGAATGTCCATTAAATTACGATTGCTTGCAAAACAAGATAACATACTAAGCCACGGTAAAATCCTCAAGTATCAAAGAAAAGAATATACATAAGAGGAAGTGAATGACCATGGAAACAGAGAAATTATACCAACAAAACTTCCTTTCCCAATGCTAAGTACGCGAAGGGCACAACACTTTCTAAACATATATGGGAAATTAAAAACAAAAATATCATGAAAAATAAGGAAAGCAACATCAGCCTACAAAAATCCCAAAACTCCCTTTTGATGAAGAAATAACTATATTACCTCCCCAGAACAATAAAAATTATTAAATAAATGATCAGAACTTATTTCAAAATGAAAAAAAGAAGAAATTTACGGCATTACTTAAAAATCGAAAACTAAAAATGCATAACATGTAAAACATCACTAAATAAATGCAAATATGTACACTATACACAACGCATACTATCTAACATACTTAAGTCAAACCCAATACTTTAAACAAATAAGATAATCAACCCCCGAAAAATAAATTAACAAATAAACAAAAAATTAAAATATATAAATAAACAAAGTAAGTAAATAACTTGCATTATTTACATTATTCGGACTGTTATCCTCATCTTCATTGCTATATTTACAAAGTTTCGGCCGTTGTACGCTCCGGCCTTCTTCATGTGATTCGGTTCAAAATTCCAATTACCTGAAGAAGGCCAGAGATTACAGCGACCGGCCGAAACGTTGCGAATATGTCAATGAAGGTGAGGGTAACAGTCTGAATTGTGTAAATAATGCCAATAATCATAATAACGCATCTCAGAGATAGAGACAGATAAAGTAAGTAAATAATAAACAAATTAACTACGATTGCACACATGAACACAAGTAAATGCAATAATAATAATAATAATAATAATAATCAACAAATAATTAATGAATGCATACAATAAATATTCAATAATAAATAACGAGTCAAAACAAACAACACTCTGCAATAGCTACAAATAATTGCAGTTGGATACATAATTACTTTTAATCAATAGCTTCTAGAATAATTAGAAATATAACCGTTACCGCTTACCCAATAATCGTTAAGATAATGCAATAAACCGGAAATACCTGAACATTCTACCCATAATGCCCCATT